GGGACTCCAGGATCATGACCTGAGCCGAAGGCAGTCGCTTAACCAACTGAGCCACCCAGGCGCCCACCCCACATTTCTAAAAACAGACATCTGGGGTTAGGAAAACAGTCAATTAAGTGTATGGGAATAGAATTGTCGAATCACTATGCCACATACCTGAAACTAATACTGTGTGTCAACTGTATTTCAGTAATAAAAAATATTATATGTACACATATATATATGTAATATACTAATCTACATATTATGTTGGAATCAGAAATCAGTGAAGATAGTTCAGATGATTTAAAAAATAATGTTGGAGAAACTGGGTAGCCAAATAAATGAAGTTAAGACTTACCTAGACTGAAAAAAAAAAAAAAAAAAAGGAAAAGAATATGGGATCACAAAGTATGGAGTCTTCCTAAAACCTCTTCCTCTTTAATCTCAAATCTGTAACCAAAGCGGAGACCCAACTGTCATTGGCGGTGTCCATCCTACATTTCCCTGACTGGGTCTTCAACCTGCCTCAGTCTGATGCTCCAGACTGAGCATACCCCCAAAACAGAACCTGTCAGTTCTCAGAGGTCATCTGTTTATCCAAAATGTGAGGGTCAAAGTCACTCAAAACCTTATGGGAAGAAAGAAAAGAGCAACTGTAATAGAATACTCATTTATTAACAAGTATTTGTTGAGTATCTAATATTCCCACACAATTTTGTAGGCTCCAGGGAGCTTATATTCACCTGAACAAGAAAAATTAGTCACATTTTCTATTGTTCAAAAGAGCAGAACCAATAGGTAGACTCAATGTAACTCTTTGCTACTTAAGAAGAAATAACAGATTTTTGTTTGTTTGTTTCTCTCAACTCACTAACATATGTTCAAATCAACATGTATTATTTTCACAGCAATAAAAAACACTTAGGACTTATTTATTAAAAGAGGCCACTTTCAGAGTAGAAACAAAGATGGACATTTATGAAGATGGTGTAGGGTGGTACAGAATCAGATACAAAGTTGCTGTTGGTATTTGCCTCAGCTCTAGCCCTCTTCCTCTCTTGTTCCTCTCTTCCTGTCTACATCAGTCTTCCTTCATTCCAAATGTCTTCAGTGGGAGATGATTCTCTATACATTCATTTTTTATTGCATAATTATAAGGTATTACATTGTAGATATGGACATTAAATAAACAAATACAAACAAGCCAAGCAGTGGTCCACAAACCATACTTGGCTTTTTAAAACTTGGATTTTTTTCCTTTTTCTTTGTGTGGCTTCTCAGTTAAAAATGCAACTAATAGGAATCATGTTTAGTCACCTATATCCAATTAGCATTACTGGTTAGGGTTTGTATTTAATGAGATTTACTTCAAGGATTTAATTCCCACATGAGGCAGTTAGTTTACTCATCTCCCTATTAGCCACCCTATCCAGGCCAGCCATGTTCCTAAGTATCAGAGTATGAATCACTGCCAACATATTATTATGAGAAAAGCAACGGAAAGTACATTTTCTTATTGAACATCTTCATATACAGTCAAATGAGTTATTCCGAAATCTGGACAAAAATAATGGTACTCACTCCACAAACCTCGTAATCTGTTTTGCTTTCTAATGTGAATAAAAATGTTGTGTGTTCTCTTTCTTATTAGTGTCTAGTCCAATCCAATAAGAGCAATCAGTATATAAATCTGTATTTTTTTCACAAGCATTTTAGATGGTTCTTATGGTCACAGCAGAGTTGGAAACACTGTGTTAATATCTGTTCACAGCTCTGGTTCATGTACTTATGTTCATGAGCTATACCTATCATTAAAGAAATAGTACTCAGTACTAGATCCCTTGCCAGCAAGCCAGCTACAGGCATGAAACGCAATACCCAATTCATAATCTTGGCCTCATGGGCATCATGCTCTTCCCTGAACTAACCAGCCCAGGCCCTGTTTAGAGTATTTTTAACACACTGTCCATGTCAGGTCTTAGAGAATACGGTCAGAGGAATCCATAAAGTTAAAAAATAAAGAACCATAAAATGTTAAGAATTTAAATTGTTTCCTAGGCTGTCACTATTGCCATATTCTTTGATAATTCATCCAGTCCCTAGACATTAGCATTCCCAATGTCAAAGGAAACATGCTCTCCTCCTATAAGCAACCGGCTGCTTTCAAAGAGCGGCTCCAGTATTAGGAGCCTGAAGTTAAAAATTCTGATGCCATAAAGATGTATTTTACATCGTTTCAAACTACATATATTTAATTTACACCTGCAGTATGTTGAATCATAATATTTTTATTTTATTTTTTTGCAGCAAGGAGGTGATTTCTCAAACTATAAACATTTCAGTACATTTAATAACACATATGATAGAAGTGGAACTAAATTTCACAGCTAGTCTACTTATATCTAGACTATAAATCCTTATGTTTGCAAAGAGGTTGAACTATAAACATGTTGGCAATGAGCTGGATTTAAATTTGCTTTCAAATGTATTCTCATATCTAAAAATAGCTCACCATGCAAAGATCAGGAAAACCAGACAGCACAGATAACAAATCATTAAGAGTAAGTTATTTATCTCCTAATATATATGTGTGTGCATAACTCAGAAGTAACTAAGTTAAATTATACTTAGCTTTACTCAACACTACTACAAAAATCTCACTTCTACCACAGCATGTATCATTTGTTTTTATGAGGTCAACTTTTATTCATTTAAATGGAGTTTTATTTTAATTAATGCTCAAAGTCCTCACAGATACCGATATTTGATAATGCTACTTAATGAAACTTCTGAAATAGCAGAATGAGGGTTTTTGGGTTTTTTTCTACCAAAAAGTTTTTTTTATTCAAATTCAACTAGCCAACATATAGTACATAATTAGTTTCAGATGTAGAGTTCAGTAATTCCTCAGCTGCATATAACATCCAGCCCTCATCACATCACGTGCCCTCCTAAATGCCCATCCCCCAGTTACCCTATCCCCCCCCATCTCCCTTCATCAACCCTCAGTTTATTTCCTAGAGTTAAAAGTCGCTCATGGTTTGTCTCCCTGATTTCTTCCCATTCAGTTTTCCCTCCATTCCCCTATGACCTTCCGCACTATTTCTTATATTCCACATATGAGTGCAAACTGTATGATAGTTGTCTTTCTCTGACTGACTAGAATGACAGGTTTTTAAATAAGAGTATGATTGGCCTAGTTCTTCTAGGAGATACACTCAAAACTAAGAAATAATACAACATAACATGGTTCAGCAACTCTCTCACTGATGTGGTTTTCTGTTAATTTTTTTTTTTTAAAGATTTTATTTATTTATTTATTTGAGAGAGAGAGAGAGTGAGCACGAGAGGGGGGAGCGGGAGAGGGAGAAGCAGACTCCCCGCTGAGCAGGGAGTCCGATGTGGGACTCGATCCCGGGACTCCAGGATCATGACCTGAGCTGAAGGCAGTCGCCCAACCGAGCCACCCAGGTGCCCGGTTTTCTGTTAATTTTGAAGTAACATTAATAGTAATCATTCATCAAGGAGAGAATAAAACAACCTGAAGAGCAGAATTAGTGGTATTTTGGACACGGACTAAAAGAAAGCGTACCTTTCCCTCTCTCCTTCCATGGTATCATATAAGCGGTTGGCACCTCCATCAGCACAGGCTCTTAAAAGAGCTTCAAATAGAAAAAAACAAAGAACATTTCAATATAAGCAGCTTAGAGCAGTACCTCACAAACGATCAACAAATGATTAAAAAGCAGGCACTCAGAGACACACGCAGTCACGCCTTCCTCTTTGGATCTTTTCACATTCAGGCACAGGCTGCCGTGCTGCAAGTGATCTACGTACCACACACTCAAGACAGAATCCCCTAAGACAGTGTATTTCCTTTTTGTAGCCTTTTCAATGCCTCTTATTAAGTAAAAGGGTTAAAGTGTAGAGGGTGTCTTCAATTTCCCTTGAAGCTTGTTTTTCCTTCTTTACAAAAGATAGGCCTCACGCTCAGTAAGGGACAACAGGACATAGGTATCACTTTGTGGTATTACTTTATTAACTTCTACAGATGTTTTCTATTTATGGCAGGTATGGGTTTCCATATTTTGTTTTGATATAAAAAGTTTCTTTTAAAAATAAAAATCATAAACATAACATTGTAAGTTTATTTTACAATATTAATAATCTAGATAATGTGCGAACGCTGTAAAAAAAATTGTGAGGTGGTACAAAATTAAAATTTGGGAAATACTAAGATATTTGAGAAAGACTGGCTGTCTCTCCAACTGGGGCTTTTAAGTCTTGCCTTCACTACAAGATTTGATGCGGCTGATGAACTGTTCCTTGAAATTCTCTTAGTCCATGGACTACTATTTTGTTGTTGTTGTTACTTCTCTAATTTCCAGTTTTCCTAGAAATGTTCAATATCTTAGCATCAGTTCTTTCTTCTTTTTTCAATATCCTTTACCTAAAGTTTTCAGATCAAACTTTATTTTTTTATCCTGGGTAAGGATAGTGAATGCGATTATGTCTGAGATTCCGATTCCTCACCTCAAACAAACAGAAGCCTGTTTCCTGTCCCCATGTAGCTGTTAAAACCAAAGTCACTAGAGCCACAAAATCAGCAAAGACCTTGGGACCAGCAGCTTTGGAAGAAACACACTACTCTCTTGAGCTACTTCTTCGATTCATGCCACTTAAGAAATCCCTTTCCCTTTCTGCAAATTTACACATTTAAAAGTGTTTATAATACTTACCTCCAAACGTCTAAGTATTTAAAAGCAGGAGGATATGGTAGAAGATATCAAATTAGCCATATTGGCAGAAATAAAAGTCCTAATGTGTCTTCTACTAATCCATAATATGTGAGACTATTTTCTATGTTTCATGTTTTATCAGAAATAAAACAGGCCAAGTGGCAAAAATATATTCCTTTTTTGCTTCAGCTTCCTCATCTGTAGGTGGGGATAATATGGCTTAGAGTTATTAAGTAATTAATGATTTAATAATTGTATATGTTGTTCATCAGAATACCAGAACACAGTAAGCATTCAATCAACATTGGTCCTCTTCCTCCATTTTTGTTAGAATGATTATGAAGTCTAAAAAGCTTACTTATGTTCCTGGACAAGGAAAGCCTAAGCTACTTAAATAGTGCATGACAAAAATAATAATTTTTACAATGATATTTAAGAGGGACATCTCATTTTACCTATTACCTACAATACACATTTCCTTAGGAGGAATGGCAGCCAAATTCAAATTAAGCCACAAGCATAACTTGCAGAAGATCACAGAATATTCTGCACATATCCTAAATATCAAAACCTAAAAGTTCAAAAGCATCAAAAGCTAAAATAGGTCTCACATCTAAAATATGGCATAGAACAATTGAATTGGGAGATTGAAAAGATTGATAAATAGAAACAGATGGTGAACTATCAGCGATTACCCTCCGAGTATATGAAACAATTATCTGTAAACAAAATTTACAAGTATATGAAATCTTTTTATATAAAAATTGATTCACCCAAGTAATATGAAAATCTAAGAAACAGGTTTTAGTGCTAAGGATCATCAAACAGAATGAGCTGTCAACTTCACAGTGTGGTATTATTCTACAAAGATCAGTTGAATTCAACATTTACACCTGTTATGTTCCAGGCCCTAAACGCAATAGCAAAACAAGTAACAAACAGATCTAGTACCCCAGGCTCACAACTGAGAAGAGAGACCAAAGCAAATACACATGATGCACTGTAGACTCTGAGGAGTGCTATAATAAGAGCAACAAAATGCAACGGAAGACAAGGAAGGGAGAGATTAATTTTAGTAAACATCTATAAAATTGCTTATCAGTAAATCTACCTCTGTTAAGATTAGTGTTACTTTCACAATACCAAAACTTTCTCTAATGTCTGTTACTTCCTATGCCTCAATTTAAATTGACACTTTTAGAGCGGTTTACGGAAAGAGAAATATTTAGATCACAGGAAGCAAATTTGTCCACATCTATTCTTGTTTTAAATGGCAAAGGGAGCGAAGACTTTTTTTCTCATTACCTTTCAGTTGACAGTAGGGGTACAATCCTGCTGAAAGGAAAAACAAGTTCCCGTCTGTCCCTAGAACTATTTTGTCTTCAATTAAGTTTGACTAAGAAAAAAAAATGTTTTCTACCATTTTTAAATTTTAGTAATAAAATGTTTTAGCTAGTTTGAAGTACTTTCCACATATGTAAATAAAATTACATTTGAAAAATAAAGTATTTCAAGCATAAATAATGTTGGCATGAATTCACTGATAGCACTTGAAAAATGAGTTGCAAGTATTACTGTCAATGAAAGTAACAAACTAAAAGAAATAGAAGTAGAAGGTACTCTTTCATAAAATATTTTTTATAAGTCATAATGAATCAGCCTCAAATATCTGTTCACTCCATCATTTAAATTGTTCCAAACTTTAAGAAATAGAGGTTAGTTCATGAGTTATCTTGTAATGTAAAATTTTCATTGGCGTATATACAGCAAAAGTTTTGCATATTTGTCAAATATTATAACTTCAATGGTTGAGCAATTATTTACTATGCATCAGGCTGATATACAACTAAAGACCAAAATACATTAAAATCATTAACTTTATATATTGGTACTACCAGTAAGTATATTAAATGCATCTGAAACTAACAATTTTTTTTTAAACTGGTATAAGTAAATGTTACTGACAGATAATGAAGGGCTCCATTCAACATCAGAGGTTAATTGGCTATTTCATTAATTTTTGTTGAATAAAGTTGGACAGAAATAATCTGACTTTCTCAACAGTAGACTATTACATTAGTTCCAAGTATTAAAATGTAAGAAAAGTTGGGACGCCTGGGTGGCTCAGTCGGTTGAGCGGCTGCCTTCGGCTCAGGTCATGATCCCAAGGTCCTGGGATCGAGTCCCACATCAGGCTCCCTGCTCGGCGGGAAGCCTGCTTCTCCCTCTCCCACTCCCGCTTGCTTGTGCTCCTGCTCTCGCTATCTCTGTCTCTGTCAAATAAATAAATAAAATCTTTAAAAAAAAAAAAATGTAAGAAAAGTAAAATAAATCAAAGAAGCATTTTTCAGTTTAACTGAAAGAAAACTGGATATCAAAGATTTCAATTCTAATCTAGATCACCCACTTATTAGTCCTATGACTTTGAGCTAATCCAAAGCCTGCTGATTCTAATGTAAAATAAAAATTATTACATATATTTTACCAAATTCACAGGGTTTTTCAGGGACTAGAGGGAGACAACATAGACAAAACTAGAAGGAAGCATCATAGGGAACATTCTCTCACATGCTGTTGATGACACTGTTAACTTTGAGGAACAGTTTGGCAGATTAATGAAAATTTAAATGTGCATCTCTCTGATCCAGAAATTCTATGTAGCCTACGTAAACACTTGCCCAAATTCACAAGGGCATATGTATAAGGATATTCATTGTGATAATATGTGTATCATGAAAAACTACTAGAGAACTTAATGGGTCACCAGTTGAATATTGGTAAAATATATCATAACCATAGGAGGGAACTATAAAAAAAAAAAAAAAGGTAGCTCTTACATGTATTTGTATGTTATCTCTTATGAGATATATTGTTATATAACCCTTTAAATAACTTGAAATAACCCTTGGTCAAGTCTTCCTTGCAATAGCAACTCAGAGAACATACAGGAATATACCAAATCCAAGAAAACTAAGAATCAGGCAAAAGTTACTTTATCAAGAATGTGTATCAAGTAATTAGTAATCAGCATTGATAAGATGCACTTGCACTGCAGAATGGACCGCTCCTTCCCCCCAAACACATACTCCTGAGGAAACTCATAACAACTAGCATAGGATATGCCTCAAGAATTGATGGCGTCCATGGCCTTTTGCATCCCAAACATGGAGTGACTGGAACATTCCAAAGTTCCTCCTGGGAAATGATGAGGCCTTCACTATTTTTGTATCAAACAAGTTTTATTATCTGTCTTGTACCCTTCCTTAAAGCTAAGTAAACATAGTGCTGAGTAAAGCCTATCATGTCTTGTGAGTTTGTTAATCCAAACCCAAGACCACCTTTGTATTCTACACACCCAACTCTTTAACAGTGATTATTGTGAGGAATGGGCATGGGGTCATGGAGAAGACATTTTTTTTTTCACTCTTTACATTAAATGCTGTGCTGTTAAAAGTATTTATACAAGGAATTTGAATATTGTAATTATAATTTTAAAACCAATGGTAATACCTAAAAAAGGGAAAATATACATAAAATAACAAGAACAGTTCCAGATCTAACCCCATTATTAAAAGGAATCAAATATTTTGTCAGACTTTGCCAGGATTGAAGATTCCTACAACTAATCTAGAGGAAAGAGAAGATCCAGAATCTTATTTAGAAGAAGTCTTACTGTATCCGTAGAGCACTAAATAACTCCAATTACCCAAATCTTGTTTTTTTCCAACACAGGTACTTACCCCTAGTACCCAAAGATACAATTAGTCTTTGTGCACCCGAAATCAATCTAATCTGTCAATTACTGGTTTGAGTCAGGATTCTTCCCCTGCCTGACACAGTAAACCACAGAATCCCCAACTTCTACCCTTAAGACAGCTCTAGCATCCATATGAGTTAGTCCAGTCATGGGGGAAAAAAAGTAG